GGCTATACAAATGGTAGACAGAACTATATTTATGTTGGTGTAGGTGAATGCCATTTTTAACAAACGAGTCCTCATCTGTATTTTTACCACAACCTGTCCAACTGTCCGACTGCTCCTGTCTTGCAACATAGGAATGATTCAATAGGAGAAGAAAAGACTAAGACCAGAAGCTTTTAGCACATACAGAATATCATTTTATTTGCATTCTTGTTAAGAGGTAGATGAGAAGATAGATGCTGTTTGCATGTGCACACTTGCTCAGTGTATCTAAATCAGCCTACCAGAACCTTGTCTGTTTAACCCATACAAAGTTTAAACATGATAATCTTTGTCTTCTCTATGAGTTTTCCGGACACAAGTGAAGAATCCAGGAGAAAAAAAAGTTCAACAAGTAATCCCCCCTAAAAACCCCTGCATGTTGTTTTTATACTCTAGTGTTTGCACGGGTTAAACAAATGCGATCTGAAGTGTCTTCACTGAATCAAGAGGTGCTGGAAAGCAGGTTTTCATAACATTAGGAAAGTCTAGTTTGCTTCATTGTCTTTCCAGTCAGTTCCATTTGAGGGATGTTATGTGAGGCCAACAAATAAGCTAGCAAACTGCAGGCTCTAGCAGCATATTGTATTCAGAGCCTTATTTGCCTAATTGTCAAAGTTTTGACTTTAATAAAATTGGAAACAAACATCTCGGTCTACATGCCAACAGAGATATTTTTATCTCACTGAGGTCTGTTGCACAATCCTCCTGGTCTATCATCAATCTTACATGGAGTTACTTAACTAACAGTGACTGTGTGCTCTGAAATATAGTGCTATTTATGTTCACCTGGTCAAGTGAGAATGGCCTTTCTATGTCACATCTATAATGACTGAGGATGTGATGGCTGGTATTGATTAATGCAGTCTTACAGGGAGTGTTTTTTTTTAAGCTACATTTTAAACTTTTCTTTCTAAATTCATATTTTTCATGAAGAGCTCAATGACACAAAGCAGCTAAAAAAAACACATAAGACTATAAGACTATAAGGATGGACAAGGCACTTCAACCTGCAGCTGTTGTACAAAGATGAAGCCAAAATACCCCTCCGATAAAATTGCAAATATCAGGTCAGTACAGTCCACAGCAGTGAACTCAATGACTCTTGTGTTAGTGTTTGTTACATTTCCTCCATTACACTGCTAGTCCGGTGCACACAGTGAGCCGCTTTTCACAATAGAGCCGCATTTCTTCAATAGAGCTGCCAATCAAGACTTTTTATACCTTTTTCCAATAACTACTTAAAGAAAAAAAACGATGATTTTAATACAGATTGGCAGTATGATAACTATTACAATGACGATGGGTTTGAGAAATGAATTATTATTTGACAGGAATTTTGATTTATAGATTGTCCCATCTGTTAAGATAGAAGAGGCGGGACCTAAACTGCAGCCAGTCAGCTCAAAGTCTTTTGGCTTCACTTCAGGCACGTTATTGCGTTGTCCATTCTTCATACAGGCTTTGATGTGACTAAATTATGTTCATACCTATCAGGTAGTTAAACCCCTCATGATCGATTTTTCATTAAATGGGGCCACTACAAATAGATATTTTAGCTAATCACGGTAACAAGTCCACATGTAGCAGATGGTCTCTAAGGACTGCCAAAGTTTGATTTTCTTGTGTAAACTTTGGTGTACACTTTATTCTGTTTTCTTTCCCAATGAACCAGATGCTTAAAGATCCCTGTGTCTTGCTAAATCCAACACTTTTTGGACTGAATCCAAAATAGAAAAAGCACAGTGACTTCATCATATCACTCATAGACTTGAATTGGACTCTTAATGCTGCAGATTGGTTGGAGTAAGAGATGACTGAACCAAAAAACCAAGAGACTGTCTCGCTTCAAGCACTGCGGTTCACTTTCAGGGGCTTAATCCTTGTGTTTTGAACTCAGTGATTAAACTCGCAATCTGAGAAGTGTCAAAAGAATTGCATTTCAACCTTAACAGGAAGACATACAAGCTGCACTTTTACTGCTTAAACTTCTTCACTCTCCAAACCCCTTCATCCTACATGCAAAACCACTTCAGGCACTGTCTGAAACCCTCCAGCCTCTTAACCCTCTGCAACCTCCTCCTCTTCTTCGTGCTCTTCATTATCTGAATCCTCCACAGTGTTCTGCAATGGCTTTCACATCTGCAACCTCCTCCTCTTCTTCGTGCTCTTCATTATCTGAATCCTCCACATTGTTCTGCAATGGATTTCACATCTACAACCTCTCCCTCTTCTTTACTGCCTTCACACTTCTCTGCAACCTGTTGGTCCTCATCCTACTTCTTCACCTCTGTTTCTGTTCCTAAATATTTCTGTTCATTCCCTAAAAACGTCCCCTGATCATCATCATCGCCTAACTTGTTAATGTAATGTAAATTACACATTACTAACTTTTGGTAGTTCTTGGGATCCTTTAGTGTCACTACCCCTTAGTGGGATCGGAGGGTAAAGGAGGAAGAAAACAATGCCCGCTGAGATGATCGCACTCGTTTGGAAGCACAATAATTGCTGTAATGCAAACTGCTCCGCCGATGCTGGTTCGTTGGCCACGACGGAAATAAATGACCATAATTACATTCAACTGCAAACATCTGTGTATAGAGTGGAGAGAGAGGGAGAGAAGCACAACTCCATTAGCGTAATGCACAGTGAAATTTCACTCAGTGCAGAAAGTCGTTAAGTGCTCTCCATCTGTCTTTCTGAGTCGAGGAAAAAATGTTCAGCACATTTATTATTTAGAATATCCTACCATATCCTACCGTTATCAAGCTTAACTTGCGAGAGCACCTTTTTGACTTTTACTCAGTCATGGCTCATTGAGTTAGCAAGGACTAAATGGGGGGATAAAACAAGTCGAATTCAAGGGACCGATATCTGAGCACCATCAGCGTACTGGTTAAGCAAGTCGAGTCTCTGATCAGTTCTCGCTGGGGTTACTTTTGTCCTCAATTCGCTTGGCCTGTGCTCTTTCCATCTGTTAGCTTTAAAAAATGTCTTCTGAATTGCATTATGATTAAAAACTTTCTTCAATTGCAGAAGTACAGTCCATCTTTTAAAACTTTTGGAAGATTCTTCTGTTAGATCCAAACCAAATTGTACCAGACAATCTGATGTAAAACACATAATCTACACTTAAGAACATGATGTTTTACACATGTTAAAACTGCAGGACAGCAGTTTGAATTTAAGTCCACTGCCAGTGCATCTGATGCGAGTCCACTTTCTTTCAGTTGCTGCCAAACTGGATCCTGCCATGTTGCTATGCTGTTTGAAAAAGGAGTTTATCCACCTTCCGGTTGCATCCCTCAACTTATTAACATTCAGCTTGGGGGCTTAAGGGTCTGTGTGATGGATGGATGCCGTTGAGGGGTCTGACAACTGATTAATGCCTTAATTATCTCCAGCGAGGACCTGCCACTCCTCCTGGAGCTGACAGAGTGAGCTGTGTGTGGCCTGACGAGTAACGCCGTGTTCAGGGCTCGCCCACTGCTATCTGCTCTACCAGGGTCACATTCATTTTCCTCCTAAAGGAGAATGTGCACGTTTTGTGCTGAAAAGGTGTATAACTATGATGAAACAGTACAGCAGGGTCTCTTGGGATCATGGCCGCTGCAGCGAGGTAGAAGACAACTTTTCAATTTACCCTCTATGTGGTTGGTTCTAGTGCTTGTTTGCTCTCTGCAAACTGAACTGCTGCTGCCTTTTGGCACAACATATGATGAAAAAATATAGCTTCAAACTGAACTAGCAATTTCAATCATGTTATGATAAATTAAATTATTTGCTTTTAATATTCTTTACAAATCCCAGTGTGACCCTGTGATCCTGCAGATCTAATTCAGCAATGCGTAAAGAAAAATAACTGATTTGGACTTGTGTAAAGGAAACCTGTTACCAAAGCATTTAAGAGGATGGATGCTGCTGCACACATCTTAAAGTCTCAACAAAGTTATTCTCACATGATTGGATATCAATAAACATTATTACTGGAAAATAACAGTCAAAATGAAGAGAATTCATAAACTACTACCATTGTAAGAACTGATGTTTGTATGCTCACTTAACAGTCAAGTGAGGTCTGAGAGGTATTGAGAGATTATTTGGTATAACCAGTTATGGTAGAATTTTGTGATTTTGTTTTTATGGCAATTTATAATTTATTAGGATGTCCATGTGTCCAAATATCTAGACCTCTTTTATACAGTCTCTACTTGTAATCTTTTCATGCAAAATCAACAACAATGCAGTGTTAGTTGTCCCCGTTGCATCACATTCTGGTCTCTCTAAATTGCCAACCCGATGAATACAAAGCTGCTGTTTTCAACATTATTAAGTGCATTTGAATTGTCTTTTTCCCCAGTAAATGCATTGTTAATACTTCAATTACTACATGCAGAAATGGAAGGACTTAGATGGGTTGTAAAATGTTCTTTTTCATGCACTTAGACATTAAGTGTGGGAGGCCTTTTGAGGGAATAATCTTTTTGTCCTGTTGAGATTGGGGAGTCTGACGGGGATCTGTAGTTAAATCAGACAGAGATTGTCTTTATTGCCAACAGAAGGTGTAGATGGGTATTCCCTGTAAGAGACAAAGTCACTTGAATAACACTAAGCAGCAATATGTCATCAGATACACATTTACCTCTTAGTAAGGAAAACACATTAATATAGGCAAACCAACATCACATATTCAAATGAAAATTCACACAGACACACATTTAAAAAAAACTTAAAGTCAGGTGTCAGCTCTCGACAGATCTTTAAAAGTATCTAGAAACAGCATCAGTTTCCTTTAAAAACATAGACGTGTTTATATCCAGATGGTTTGTAGGATGAGCTTCTGTTTACCAGGGTACTTCAGAGGAGATTGTGGTAGTACTTAATCAAAAACAAATTAGAAGTGTTTTGTATGCAGCGTGACAGGTGCTGATGCAATGTGTGTACTGTGTGTGTTTGTGTTGCAGGTGTGTGACTGGTGCAAACATATTCGCCACACTAAGGAGTACCTGGACTTCGGCGCTGGCGAGAGGAGGCTGCAGTTCTGCAGTGCCAAATGCCTGAACCAATACAAGATGGACATTTTCTACAAGGAGACACAGGCTGCACTACCTGGAGGGCTGTGTAACCCAGCACATGGGGCAGGTGGGGAGGGGAAGCTGGAGTGCAGTGGAGGGGTACAGCTGCTCACTCCTGAATCCTGGGGAACTTCATTGACGGACCTCCGACGTACAGCTCCCTCACCAGGGGGCCCATCCATGAACTCCACTTTGGCTCCTTCTACTTCTTCTGCCACATCGCCCTTAGACACGACTGCTGTCTGCTCCCCATCCTCTTCCTCCTCAGCCAAGATCCCTACGCCTAGACCTCACGAGAGCCCCACCCTTCCCCCACCACATGTTCCCTCTTTGCACCCACCCGTTGGGGTTCCCCCTGGTAGCCCTCCCATGGTGATGACACCCCGGGGACCAATGCCCCTGCCTCTGTTCATGGAGCATCAAATGATGCAGCAAATGCGTCCACCTTATCTTCGCCAGTCCGGCCACCCTGGCCATCCTGGAGGGCCCAATAGCCCCCTGTCAAACCCTATGATCCCTGGTATTGGTCCTCCACCTCAACAAAGAAACATTGGTCCAGCATCAAGCCCTATGCATAGGCCCCTGCTGTCTCCACATGTCCACCCCTCAAATAATCCAAACCCTGGTATGATGCCTCCCCATCCCGGTTTCCCCATGCCAGGCCTTCACCCTTTCCCCCCAGTTAACATGATGCCCAATGGACGCATTCCAGTGCCCCCAATGATGAACTTAGGCATGCCATCCCTGGCCCCTTTGGTACCCCCACCAACACTCTTGGTACCATATCCCGTCATTGTACCCCTCCCGGTCCCAATACCTATTCCAATCCCAATCCCCTATAACTCTAAGAGTTTCAGGGACCAGCCAATGAACAGTGGCCCCGTCCATGTTGCTCCAGAGTCCGCTGAAGCTTCAGCTCCTGGGCCCCACTCTCCGGGTTCGTCTGGCGAAAGAGGGGAGCAGAAATTAGATTCAGCTGGAGCAGGGCATCTCTCTCCTGTGCGCTTAGAGAGAAGCAGGTCAGGGTTGGTGGACTTAACTGTGAAGGCAGAGGACAATTCAGGCAACCTGTGTCTAAACAGTGGCACCGGCATGTTGGATGGGGTGATTGATCTCACTGTTGGTCAGAGGTCTTGCCAACACCAGGTAATTCAGAGGATGCTACCTGGGGTCCAGGTCAAAGTAGAAGCAGAGGCTGAATCAAGATCTCCACCAGCTGCTGGGCTTGGAAGGGAAGGGAAATTTAGTCAGGATGGGGTGGAAGACGGGCTTATACAGGGCCTCCTTAGTTCTATAGAGCTGGAAGGGGCAGCACAACCAAAAACACTGGAATCATTAGGCCCACCCTCCAGCAATGGCAGCCCTTCTTGCAATGCTGATCATCCAATGAGCCAGCTTAACTCCAGTTTTACCCCACCACCCTTACCCAGCACCACACGGACCCTTACCCAACCCCCGCCACAGCTTCAAACTAACCCTGCTGCCCCTTGTAATGTCATAGTCAATGGTACTGGATGGCATTCGCTTCTTACTCCTGCCTTTGAGTCCTGCCCTGACCGAAGAGAAGACAGCTTTGCAGGGGACAGAGAGGCAGAGAAGCAGCCGGCCAACGGTGAGTTAGAACGTGAGGCACTGAAAGAGAACAATTGCTTGGTTGGAGACTGGGAGCCTGGGAAGCGTGGCCCGGTGCAAGACGAGATGGTGGATACAGTGGAGGGTAAACCCGACTCTGACTCCAACTTGGAGGAGGGTGAGCACGCCTATTCCCTGCCGCTGCTCTCTACTGGAGGCTGTGTGGTCATACAGCCTGTGCCAAAGCCTGGCGCCGACAAGACAGCCATCCTGTCCTGCTCCATCAGTGCCCCTTTATCATCAGCCGGGAGCCCCGAGCTGGAGCCGCCGTTAAAAAGGAGGTGTCTGCGAATCCGCAATCAAAATAAATGAGGTGCGTTTCACTCAGTGTGCTCCCACAAACACTTTTAAGCAGTTGCACTCACTTGTATGTATTTAAGAAAAGATTTATACCAATTAATTCAGTGACATTTAGTAATTCACAGTGGGGTACCCATCAAATAATCAGCAAGGTTTGATGATTTAAATGTCTTTCAGTCCCCAGATTGAACTTTTTGGAATAATCTCTGTTACCTCCAAAATATGTTTGAACAAGTTGTTCAGTATTCCATCCTCAGTCTTTTTATCTTAACATTTTAAACTCTACCTTCAGGGTTTTTTAATGATTATATATGATTAGTCCAATTGCATATCATTGTTTTAAAATGTCACAATTAGCCACATCACCTTAACAGAGTTTATAGTGAGATGCATAATTCAAGGGAAGATGCAGAGTTCCCTCATTCAGACAGTACAGAAGAGGTCAAACACGCATTCACTGAAAGGTAGACTGGCAAGGCCCCAACTAAAACCCCCCATGACAGACAATGTTCATGTGATGTTTCACTTTGATGTTTGTTGTAACAGGGAGGAGCTCTGGAGAAACCTTAGTGGGGGGTTAGGGGAAAAGATGTAAACATTAATTCTACAATTCTACAATTCACTTAGCAGACGCTTATCCAAAGCGACGTACATCAGAGAGTAAGAACAACACAAGCAAGGATCTAGAAAAAAGGGAACAATGTCAGTAAGAGCAAACGATCAACTTTGAGTCTGATTGGACACACAGGTGCTGACAGGAAGTGATCAGAGGCAAAGCACAACATTGAGGGCAGTTCTTGAGAGCTCTAATCAGTATAGAAACCATCTTATAAGTCATCGTTATCAAACAAAAACAATCGTCATTACCATCATCATCATCAATAATATGGAGACCATCATCATTAAGTTAGTAGGTATTCATGAAAGAGCTGGGTCTTTAGCTTTTTCTTAAAGGTAAAGAGGGAGTCATAAATTACATTTTTTATATTATGTAGTTTTTCATACATCCAGGGATTCCACTTATTTTTCAATCTTCATTGGGTTTCTCACGTTTCACAGGAAGATAACGTGTTGCTTTACTTTCACTGGCAGATCACAGCAATGAGCTTTAGAATGGAACTGGGAAGTCTTTCATGTCAATTGATTTATTCAACACCTTAATTGCAAATCTAATGATGCACTCCTCAAGCTGTTAATTTAATGAAATTGTAATCAAGAGCAATTGAAGGCCAATTCAAGTTGTGGTAACACGAGGCGAGCGCTCTGAATCAGAGTAATTAATAATGACAAAAGATGGAAATCAAGACCTGTGCACCGTTAGTACTGCTCAGATCACCCTAGCAGCTGAAATGACTCACAGGAGTGATGGAGAAATGTATGTGAATAGAAAAATACTCAAAGATACACATTTTTGATTACTGATAGCAGAAACATATTTTAGCTGCATCTCACCTTTTCCCCATGTTTGCAAAATCACAAGTCATTCATAATAAATTAACTAAAACATCATGTAAAATTTATGCCACCAGAGAAGCAGATGCTGAATATTTCATTCTTTATTTGCCCAAAAGTGTCCTCAAGCTGATCCAGACTGCATGCACAAAAGAGAATTTACAAAGAAATAGAGAATTAGCTTTTTCTACAATTTCATTCTCTGTGTATTTACACCAAGACTGTTATTGTGCCGTTCTTGCATGAGACCTATTGCTTCCAAATAAACACCTCATAGTCTCTCTCTTACCTTTGAACAATAATTGGAACTGCTAGGCTGTAGGGATGTCAGGATGCACTACAATATAATATGTTCTAGATACTAGGTTCATAATATGATATTTTTGAAAACATGAGATTGAGGTCCAATTATGAATAAATATAAATATTTTAATTAAATTTAAACTGTTACGACTCGACACAAGGGTGAACCATAACATAAACAACAAAATGCAAAACATCACTTACTCTTTATTTCTCTTCATAAAGCGTAGACATCCTTTTAAAAGTTATTCATGAAGTTGTTTAATTACCAATAAAACAATGCATCATTTTCTTTATAAAAAGTCATTTTTGTATCTTTTATTTATTAAAAAACACAAATAAAATAAAAAAATCCCACCTCCCACCTCTTCACTCCTCCCTGATTATTTCACATGCAGAAATTTGAGGAGGGATAATATAATATCTTAAACCCCTTAGTTGGAGCCTTCAGATGGATGCTGGGGTGGTGGTGGGGCTGAACGCAAGAGCACAAACTGGTGCAGGTCAGAGCTGGCAATAAGAGAGCAGAGGGAGAGACCCTTAAATAGACCGCCAATTGGTGTCGTGTTGAATAATGACGCATGTCATGGGTAAAATCAGTGCAGCTTGAGTTGTCTGCCTAAACTAGCGCCCACATTGCCCCCATGTACAGTATGGCACAAATAGGGAAAATGTCTTTAAATAAACAGATGCAGCCTATATTTCTGACAATGAGGTCCAGAAGACACTGAATTTTCAGTGTCTTCAATCAACTTTATGTCGCCAAATATAAGTTTCCATTCACATTCTTTAAAATGTGGGTCATTTCAACTGGCTCTAACAGTGAAATCATCACCCCAAACAATTAAAACACCAATGCAAGCAGTAATCTCTAGGGGTTTCAAATCCCTTTCCCAGCATATGTTATTTTTGTGTTTTGGTGTCTCTAGCTTTGCAATGTGGCGCTTGTGTTTTACAAGCTGCATCATGTTGGAAGGGCTATTTGTGTTATTCATCCGTTCCCTACAATATTTGCACATTGCTTTTGTCTTGTCCATTAACCAACGTTCTTGCCTCTACCATCCCACTTTGAAACAAAACCGGTCTAAACCTCAGATTCCTAATTTTCTTCCACTATGTTTGTGTGTGTGTGTGTGTGTGTGTGTGTGTGTGTGTGTGTGTGTGTGTGTGTGTGTGTGTGTGTGTGTGTGTGTGTGTGTGTGTGTGTTATTCAGCTACTAATGTCAAACAACAGAAGACAAAGGCTGATAGGGCCCTCTGCTGGTTAAATAAGTAGAATTGCAATTTATATTTTTGTCCAATCGATTGAAATTGTCCATATTTGTATTGAGTTTTGATTGTACTGCGAGGTACGGTTACATCCCTGCATCAGTTTGACCTCAACAGAAACATGTTTGGTAAAGCCTGCTTCACCCAATGACTCAGTCTAATTGTCTTCCCACTCTGTTCCACAGATGGACGCTCTGAGGACCACAGTGCCATCAACAACACTCACTTGTCCACCCCACACCTCTCAATCCCAGCCTCCAAAACTTCTTTACCAAGCATGTGCACATACACTCACACACACACACACACACACACACACACACACACACACACACACACACACACACACACACACACAAACCAACATTTTTCTGGTTCTCACTCATCGTCCAGTCTACCAGCACCACAAATCGCCTTTGATGACTGATGAGAGTCCAGAATAACGTGTTATGTGTCATCATAGAGTGGACAGGACTCATTTTGACACTCGGATAGACTGAACTTCTACAGACTTGATGTCATGGCCAGCAGGATCACAAAACTTCTGAAATGTATATTCCTGCAACAGGAGGACTTTACCCCCACTGCTTCACTCCCCATTTAGAGACCTTCAGCCCACAGTGGCTCCTAAACCTTAAACCGCACTCCCCTATCAAAGCGAGAGTATTGTCTTTTATTATGGAATGCACTATAGGGTCTGCTGGGACAGGAGCCCCAGAAAAAGAGATTTCCATCCCTTAAATGCTCCCGGTTCTGTCCAACCTGATGCCTCACCACAGGTTCAAAATCTCTGCTCGAGTAAGTGTCGTTTTTTTTTTTTAACACAACTTGTCACAAAGGCATAGAAGGGTGTCCCAACGCATAGATTTCAGAGCCAATGAGATGACAAAAAAATAGCAGAAAGTCTTTTGACAGCTTGTCCACAATCAGCAAAACAGTGTTCCTTCTAACCTAACACAAAGTGTTCTGGGTGATTGTGATGTGTGGAAGCTAAAAAAAAAGCACAAGTATAAAAACCTAAAATGCAATGTGACGATTTAAAGAGGTTATTACAATCACAGGAAGGGAAACAGTCCTTCTTTAAGATGAGAATTAATCCATCTGATTCAACTAACTGGAGGATAAATTATGAACCTTCACCAGCAAGAAATGATGTGTGGGTGGACTCTTGCAATCTCTGCCATTTTTCTGTGGCATTGATTTGTTTGCTCTTAAACTTTACTAATTTGAATATATATTGTTACACAAGAATAAGACAGAGTTTTCATGATAATCATTCCTACTATAGACACTTTCATACCCTTGTGAGCACCACCCGATAGCTTAAAACAGTGGGACATGCAGGTAACAGTTACAGGGCTCTTTGCTGTTTCAGAACATTTCATGGCATGGCAGTGTAGACGCTCTGCCAACCTGCAGACGGTACTGGCTCCCGCAGGCTAGTTCTTAATCTTTTCTATTATACATTACGAGTGATGTTCCTGTAATGGGTTAGTTTTAGAGTCACTGCACTGAATTTAGAGGGGCAGAGGGAAGCCAGCAGTTTCATAAATAATTCTTCTGGGACCTGGAGGGAAACTGCTGAAGTAACACAGCAGAAATATTTCTTGAGTAAACACACCGACGACAAACTCATTTTGAAAATAATTTGAGACATATTAAAAACATTGCTTTATTCTTGTCCACGACCTGCCATGTTGCTTCTTTTTTTGCCATTTTTAATTTGATTTAAGCCAAATTTTAAGCATTTGTTGTCCTTGATTCATGTCATACTCTATGTACAGACTCTTTGGGTTGCTGTCACCCATACAATTAGATCTGATCCAGTTACACATCTCAAGCCAACTTCAGTCTAGTTTACTCTCCTATAACGGAGGGGGATTTGTGTACTAGTGAGAGACAAGGTATTATCATATGCCAAAGGCCTCTGGTGTGTTGAAACAAAACATGTCACCTAGTTTTCAGGGGAAATGGGAATTAAAACTGGAGATTTGAGCAGATAATTTATAGTTGCCAAAATAACTAGCACTTATTTTTTTTTTAAAGGAAGGAAGATGCGGGAGAATACAAGTGGGTGTCAAAAGCAGTATTACTGTAACTGTTGTCTCTTTTAATGGTTTATAAAGTCCATACAGCCCTTTGATGTGTCACCTTGCAGACAAACTGAAAATACAACCTTGGATTAAATAGATAACGTAGGACCAGATGTGTACCAATCCTACCTTTCTATTTACCCTTCAGCTTTTGTTTCATTTCATTCTCTCAAGGTGAAATATTGTGTAATTATTCCTTCATCATTCTCTTTGTCCAAACAAGGCCCCAGCATTTATTCATACCAATATCTGCATGTCACAACCATACTTAAGAGTACACTTTAACACACAACACACACTAAATCTGTCTACCTGTGTTTGAAGCCGGGTCAAGCAGAGAGCCCAGTTGAAGTTACAGAGTGTTGACTCACAGTAAGCAGTGTGAAACTCTATCTGTTGACTGTTAGTCAGGCATTTAGGCTCAGCTTGCTGCTTGCCAAGGCCCAGCTTTGGTGTCAACTAAAGCATTTCCTTGCCCTCCGTTTTATTTCTCTCCAAGCAAAGGCAGTGAAAACGGTCTTTGTAAGGATGCTTATTTTGGTCTTGGTTGCCTTTCTTTCTGCCTCACATATGTACATAATTAGACATATTCCTTCCTGCAGTCTGATTTACAGACTATAACTGAAGAAAAGAAATTAAGGAATAATATTCCACCCTGAAGTGTCCCTCTTGAGCGTTTCATTGCCTCAGCAAGAATATTGCTTTTGAAAGAACCGAAAGCCATGTTGGTGTATCATGAAAACATAGTAGCTTTGTAGTTTTACACTGGTAGTGTGTAGTGTAGGGCTTGTTCAAAACTCGGACCAGCATCCAGCCAAGAGCAGGATTTTAGAGGCCCCATGCCCTCCAAAAAACACTCCCAAACAAGTTGACCAGAGACCCATAATAGTCTCTTCAAATCGTAAATTATTACTTGAATTTCTCACATTTTATTTATTCAGGTAACTGTTCAGTAACACTTTCTATAAATTGCATTTCTTATTAAACTTTAAAAAAAGTCCCCACTGTGTGTAAGTTTCCAGGATGTAAAGTCCCCCCAGAGTGCAAAAACATACAGAGGACATGACTTCTTCAATGGTAGCTACAAACCTGTAAAAATCCTGAGCCAATGGTATAACACGATATCATTTCCTATTTGTAAGTCCAGCACCATGTAGTCAAAGAGTGGACGAATTCTCAGCGAGAGGAAAATAGTTTTCAGAATGAATTATCACACAATCTGGTTCATTTGCTTTTGTTTTTCTCAAGCTACCACCTTAGCATACACTGCACCAAGCTAACGAGGCAGCTAGCATCTTCTTCTAAACTGGGAGACTGACCTTGTAAAGGAAAAGAAGGGTGTCAGTGCTGTTATCATATGACATGTAGACTGATAAATGTTTGTCCTGCTAGCAGCGGAGACGAGTGATGGCAGTGTTGGCAGATTGCCTTTGAATGTACTGAATACATTCATGTCATCCAGAGGATAAGCCCTTTTCTAAGTCGGCCTCTATCAGGTTTCCTCTAGCACCAACCATAGAACTATATGACCTTTGTACAAAATATATTCAAAGCAGAAGCTGAGAAGATTTAAGTTTATGAAATAGCGAGTAAAATTAAAGACTTTTAATCAGTGAAGCTGCAGCTAGCAGACGGTTAGCTTATAGCCTAGCTTGAGACTGAAACTCTGAGGAAGCTACTCTGGTTCCATCTAAAGGTTTAAACAATTATTATTCTATCAGTACCTAAGTATAAAGCTCACTTATAGCTCATTTGGGCTAAGCTAAGCTATGCTAACCAGCTGATGGTTGTAGCTTTAAAAAGGAGTGATGCTGTTACCTTAAAATAAAATACATTTTTCCTTCAATTTCTCACCCAAAAGAATGCTATTTATTTGCCAACATATTTCTGACCTTTCTTTTGTAAGGCTAAATTTACAATTTTATTCCCTATTGCTGATCTCCTCCCCATCATTTTACTAGCGCTCTGATTCTGTGTTTATGAGTTTATGTTTGTTGAAGCACAAACCAAAATCTTTGCTTTCTCTTTTGCTTGACACCCACATTCAGACACACACACACACACACACACACACACACACACACACACATACATTAAAAAAACGAGATGCACGTTATGTTGACTTCTAATCTGCACCATGTTGGGAAGGCATTGCACACAATATACTTCTCATGTCTGAGACTGGACAAATGGGAGCCTCACTCTAAATGTGGAAATCCTGGACTGCTGTTTCACTTGTGGTGATGACAAACAGACTTGTGACAAATCTCCAGCATTCCTTTTTTGATGATGGACTACAGGCCGGGTCAACAGCCTGAAATTATGCAATGACAACTAACTTCAATCCTAATATGGACAATTTGGTCCACAGACAAAATAAAACATGACTTCCTGTTACTTTTCAAAAACAACAGAGAAGTTGCCTTAACTCTTGCTTGTATAATCTCTACAGTTAAGACAATGACGCTCGCTTGTAAAGAAGACTCTCCCTTCTTTGTACAAAATGAAATATACCAGAAACAACAACTTTGTTATCTTGCTAGTGTCAATGTATAGATGATCAGCTTTTTTCTGTAACTTGTATGGACCGTCACATTTTTGCTAAGAAGAAACCTTCCTCCCAAATCCCTCGTTCCTCAACTTCAAATCTGTTCAACGTTTTAACTTGTGGTGGACTGTCAATCTTTTTTGTGTACATTTTATAGTATTATTTATTGTTGACAAGTTTTGCATTTGCAAATGAAAAAAAAAAGAAGGTGATTTGGCCAGAGCATTCTAGTCCGATGCAGACGCCCAGTGAACAGTGAAATGCTTTTTTTAATTATTAAAAATGGAGAAAACATTTTTGAGAGGAGATGATCTTCTGTTTTTTTTTTATTATTATTATTATTATGATGTAACATGTACATAACATGTGGCCAAAGTTTCTTTGGAAAAAAATCATTTTTGTGTTGTAACAGTATTTGTTTTATCCAGTGAATTGCTCATGAAGACAAATAAATAAGAGACACACACATGTCTGTTTCACATGGGTCATATCTGCTCATTCTTTGTACAACGTCAAGGAACCTGCACACATAAAATAAATCTTAAGAGGACATTTAAAATCAGAAAGGTATCACCTATATTATGTGTTTGAGATTTCTACTTAATGCCTAACTTTATTACATAATTAGGAGCATAACAGACATAATTAGTGCAAATGTGTGAAAATCACAACTTGCATGTAAATTTCAGAGTAAGTGTCGTTTTTTTTTAACACAACTTGTCACAAAGGCATAGAAGGGTGTCACAATGTATAGATTTTAGAGCCAATGAGATGACAATCAGCAAAACAGTGTTCCTTCCCACCTAACACAAAGTGTTCTGGGTGATTGTGATGTGTGGAAGCTAAAAAGAAGCACAAGTATGAAAACTTTAAAATGCAATGTGGCTGAAGGACAATTTAAAGAGGTTATTACAATCACAGGAAGGGAAACAGTCCTTGGACATAGAATAACAAATTGAGTTGAGAATTAATCCATCTGATTCAACTAACTGGAGGATAAATCATGAACCTTCACCAGCAAGAAATGATGTGTGGGTGGTCTCTTGCAATCTCTGCCATTTTTCTGTGGCATTGATTTGTTTGCTCTTAAACTTTACTGATTTGAATATATATTGTTACACAAGAATAAGACAGAGTTTTCATGATAATCATTCCTACTATAAACACTTTCATACTCTTGTGAGCGCCACCCGATAGCTTAAAACAGTGGGACATGCAGGTAACAGTTAAAAAAATTGAAAATAAAAGGCTAAGTACTTCTTTAAAAGGAAATCTTTCAGTTAACTTTCTTGATTTATTTCTGGCAATTAGTCACCTTTTCTTTATTATATATGTCTGCAAGTAAACCACCAGGTCAATATTTGTTTACAAAAAGCATTCAGAATGCTCAACGTGATGGAAAACATTTCATTCCTGAGAATCTGCAGTGTTGTCGTTTTGTCGTGATACCTGACATTTTCTTATGAACCCATTTCATTAGGCAACAAATTGTCAATCATGAATTTGAAAAAGAAAAAGATTTAAACAAAAACAAGCATGACACTAACACCATAAAAATGAACATGCTAACTGTCCAAAAGTTATGAAACATTAAAGGGGTCATATTCTGCTTTTTCTGGTTTTATATACTCTTTAGTGTGTTTTCCAAGTGTCCTGTGCATGTTTAGGCACATCTATGTGCAAAAATTCAAAGTCCGCGGAAACGCGGCTTCTCCTACGTCCTCCTGTTAGCTGTAGCATTAGCTGCATGTAATGCTCGGTTCTAGCCCCCCTCGATAAAAAATTTGTCAGTGTGACGTCTTGTCAGTGTGATATCACTGATTTAAGCCCATTGGCTCGTTGTGGCAAGCCCAGCAGCAGTTGGACGCCCGTTAACTTCTGTAGCACGCCCACGATATGCTGTAGCCTGCGGTAGAACAGTAGTGCTAAGGTGCTAATGTTTATGCTCCCCTCAGAGCCAAATTGGCTGCATTCCCAATATGGTAAAAGGGGCGTGACATTTCCAAGAACCGTGCTGAGCGACTGACCAATTACGGCAGAGCCGACAGGCCGACCAATCAGATCAGACTTGGCACACGTGGGGACTCTGAATGTGGGCACTTCAGAGCCTCAGAGAGAGAGTCAGAAGCGAGCCGGTGCATGGAGCGGCAGTTCATGAAAACAGACACTTTTTTATAACTTTAGCTATTGTGAACATACTTTAGTAGGTACATAGATTAAATATACAAACCCCAAAAAGGGCATAATATGGGCTCTTTAATGCACGTGTGATTACGTGTTTAAACACATTTTAGAATATTGAATCATTTATAACTAGCCAGGCTTCAGTTTTACTGTTTAAATATTGATAACTGAGATTAAGTGGGTTAGAAAAACACAGGCACATAATTATTAGATCAGTAATAACTACATGTTGTTGCTGATAATTAGCCTTTCATTGATGAAGACAGGAATCAAGTCATGACTGTAAAATGGTACACCTTTTTTTTGTTTCAAGATTCATGATGGTGCTTTGAATGTCTTTATTGGACAGGATAGTGGATAGTGTAGGAAGGAGAGAGAGAGTGGGGAATGAAATGTGGGAAAGGGGGCCACAGGTCGAACTCCAACCCGTGCCAACTGCTTGGCGGACTTTAGCCAGTGGTGAAGTGGTGCCTGAAAAAGTGGGTATACTCTTAATTTTTTAATTATCATTTTATTGACATTTTTATGACATCACAGTACAAACAAGAGTGAAAACCCACAACCCAATCCATGGAAATAAATCCCCCTCAGCCCCACCCCAGAACACACACACACACACACACACACACACACACACTCACAACAAGAGAGGAGGTACACATATTACAAATAGTTCATCTGAACCCTGTGCCATGGACACAAAAAGCATACATATCATTATACATCATCAATGTGTTAGTACTACATCCAAGCTGTCTGCAATAGAGATGTCCATAAATAAAACAAGAAAAAAAGATAAGTCCATACAGGTACAAATGCTATCAGGGTAAGTCCAAATGTTGCAAGAAGGGACCCCAAGATTCTTCCCATTTATGTTTACATTTTGAATCATTAGCTTGCAATTTCTCCATGTGTATCACAACTTACATGCACTTCCTTTGTTTAAGTTGTGCACCTTCACTTTTTACAATACATTGTCTGAGACCAGTTCATGCAACCATTTTCTAAGGCATGGTGGAGTTGGTGTCTTCCAGTCTTTCAAAATCATTTTTTTTCCTACTACCATGCCCATCAAAAGAGCTGTTTGGATATATGAAGGGAGCAATACCGAGTCCTCTGAAGCTCTGAAGGTATACTCTTAATTTTTCCCCAAAATATTACTTTTAAGTGGCCCGTCCACTAAAGGATAAATGGCCTCCTTTAAAAACAGTGGCTTGTAAGACAGCTCTTGCATATTTAGTTAGTGCACACTAGCCAATTAGAGACAGAGTAGGGAGGGTCATCCCTTCACCATCTTAGGAAAAAAATGTCAGCATACTACAAAATATTGTCAGTAAATCAATGGTGTGAATCAGAGGAGGTTTAGAAGTGGGTTTACTTGATGGAGACATACCTTGCACTACACCACTCACTATAGCCCCTGTACCTGAGGTGCAACCTGACCATGAGACCAACCAGCCCCACAAGCACACAACTTTTTTTTAATGAATTCCATCTAGTAGAAGATTCATTAATGAATTCATTATCTGGGAAGCATAGTTACTGTTAATGATTGTTTATGTAAGAGCTCATTAAATCACTATTTGAGAACTTGTGTGTTAATGTGTTCAGTTGGAGGGATAACTTTTGGTCTTGGCTCTGCAGAGGAGAAACTCGGATTTAATGGTCTCTAGCGCCATCTAATGGCCCCTGAAAGAATTGTCCCTCAGTACAGTAGCATAATTGGAAAGGCTGTATTTCTGCATTTGTACATTAACATGAAATGGACGTGATTTAATGAACACACATAACAAACCCTCACACACATTCACTGAGCAAAACTCACCCTGGGGAAATCAGGTTATTGGTGTTCCATTTTGAATGTAGACGGCCTCCACGTGATAAAACTACCTCAGCATCTTGGTTGAAATGACTGCATCATTTAGCATGTTTTTTATAACACAGACGATAAAGAAGTATGATGTTAATAGTTAATGTGGCTAATCTATCAAATGAGGATAAGATAAAACATTTTTGAGTACAGCTGATAAACGCTCATATTGAAAGATGATGAGACTTTATGAATACAATGTACAGTCTAAGCCTCTATCCAAAAATCACCAGACCCAGCAGGATTACATCTCACTGTGCCACATTGATTGACAACATATTTACAAACGTTATAGACAATAATACAATAAGTGGATTAATGATCAATGACCATCTGCCAGTGTTTATAGTCTTCAATAACGACTATAAGAGTGAAAAACAGGAGAGTACAGTCAATTACAGAAGAGTACGGACAGAAGAGTCAATGAACGCTTTAAAAAATGAATTAATGACTCAAAATTGGGAAATATTATATAAAGAAGAAAACATTGACAGAGCCTGTGAAATATTCTTAGGGGTATTTAAGTTGTTGTATGATAAACATTGTCCAATAAAAGAAATCAAAAGGAAGTTTAAATGTTAGTCCATGGATAACTAAGGGATTACAAAATGCCTGCAAAAAGAAAAATACACTATATAAAGAATTCATAAAACTTTGAACCAAAGATGCAGAAAATAAATATAAGAAATATTTAAAAAAGTTAACTAATATTATGAGAAATAGTAGGAAATAATATTACAGCAAATTATTAGATAAGAATAAATACAATATTGAAGGTTTATGGAATATATTAAATAGTGTTATTGGAAATGGTTCTAGACAAGTTAAATATCCACATGACTTTATTGATAATGATATGACTATTGATAATATGGATGATGCAGTTAATGGCTTCAATAATTATTTTGTAAATGTTGGACCAATACTGGCTGAACAAATCCCTGTTTCTGTGAGATCTGACGACAAGAATTATGATTTCATAGACATTAATCCAAAAGCAATGTTTCTAACAGCAGTGGAAGAGAGTGAAATTATAGAGATTGTTCATGAATGTAAAAACAAAACTTCTACTGACTATAATGACATTGACATGAGAATAGTTAAACAGGTCATTCAGGGAATTGCAAAACCACTAACGCACATCTGTAACTTATCATTTAAAACTGGTAAATTCCCAAGAAAAATGAAAATTGCAAAAGTCATACCGCTGTACAAAACTGGAGACAAACACCACTTCACAAACTACAGGCCTGTTTCACTGTTTCCTCAATTTTCAAAAATCAAAAACTCTTTGCTGACAGACTGAACAAATTTATCAATAAACACAACTTACTAACTGACAGCCAATAGATTCAGACCCAACAGATCCTCTTCATTTGCAGTCATTGAGCTAATTGAAAAAATCACAAATTCCTTGGACCAAAAGAATTATGCAGCTGGTGTTTTTATTGATCTCAAAAAAGCAGTTGATACAATAAATCACGACAGATTAATTAATAAATTAGAACGGTGTGGTATCAGGGGGGTTGTATTAAACTGGCTGAGGAGCTATCTACATAACAGGCATCAATTTGTGAAGTTGGGTGAATACACACCATCTTGTTTGGACATTGCTTGTGGTGTCCCCCAGGGGTCAGTGTTGGGCCCAATTCTTTTTATTCTCTACATAAATGATATATGTAAAACCTCAAATATTTTACAATTTGTGTTATTTGCAGATGACACAAATATGTTTTGTACGGGAGAGGATTTGCAGCAGCTTCTGGAGTTAATTACATCTGAAATGAGCAAATTAAAAAGGTGGTTTGACAATATTAAATTATCATTGAATTTAAGCAAAACAAATAAATGTAATGTAAATGTTAAGATAGATGGTGTTAATATTGAAAGAGTGTATGTAAATAAATTCCCAAGTGTGACAATAGACCACAAGCTTTTTATTTGTCAATTTTATTTCATTAAAAAAAACCCAATAAGATTAAGAAAAACAAACATAAAATCTCAAATTTTGAATGAAAAGGAGCAGAAAGAAGATTAATCTTATAATATCTGCCCCTCTAGGGCAAGCTCTGCTGGAAACCTCACATAAAACATGTTAAATGTAAACTGTCACGTAGCATCTCAGTCCTATGTAAAGCAAAGCATATATTGGATCACAAATCATTGCGTATTCTCTGTTCAATGATCTTACCTTATTTAAATTACTGTGTGGAGGTCTGGGGGACCACTTACAAAAGCTCACTGCTACCACTAGTCACACTTCAAAAACGAGCCATAAGAACAATCAATAAAGCAGGATATTATGATCACACCAACCTCCTGTTTTTACATTCCCGTACTATAAAGTTCATTGACCTGGTTGACTATCAAGTGGCACAACTCATGCTCAAAGCAAGAAACAAACTGCTACCAGGTAATATTCAAAAACGTTTTTTTGACAGAGAGGGGGGTTATAATTTGAGGGAAAAGGTAAATTTTAAGATGCTAGCTGTTCGCACGACTTTAAAAAGTCAATGCATTTCAATTGGTGGTGTGAAACTGTGGAATGGTATGAGCACGGAGCTAAAGCATTGTCCAAACATGATCTAGTTTAAAAAAATGTACAAAGCAATGATTTTCAAAAGGCACAGGGATGAGGGAGAGCTTTAAGAAGGAAAATAATAATAATAATAATCATAATATAATCATAATTGGGTTTACAAGTTTTGTATACACAGGTGTATGTTAATGTGTATTATATATATGTAAATTGTACATATAATAGCCTATATCAAATTGTATATATATATATATATATATATATATAGATTGCATCAAATGTATAATTGTAAACATACTGTACCAAACTGTATAGATATAAGGATTGTATAAATACATAAATATAGTACATCAAATTGTACAAATAGATATGTATATATAGATATATGGATTGTATAAATACATAAATTATAAAAAATCATAGTATATCAAGTTGTATATATGTATGGAAAATCATTGGATTGTAAATATCAAATATAGTATCATAAATATAGTATAGCAAATTGTATATAGATAGATTGTATATATAGAGAGATTATAAAGAACACAGGAATTGAATTTAATAAATATTAATTATTGAGCTGTGGAAAAGGGGTAGGATTAAATAAGTTTTATACTTCTTCCTACTCCTTTTCAGGCATATCAATTGAATATATATAATTTTCGTTTTCTTTTTTGTAAAATAATTTGAACATTGTTTTTTGTTTATTGTATTTTTGTGCTTTTCGGTTTGTTTTGTATTTTTGATATGTTTGATTTTATTTGATATGTCTGAAATAAATTTAATCAATCAATCAATCAATCAGTCAATCAATGAGCCACACTTGACCAGTCTACCTTTCACCAAATCGGTTTAAGTGTTTATGAGGCACTATTGGTTTGTGTTGATTTTTATTTTAAATGTATATGCTTAACTGTGAACACATAACACTGTGCAATTGAGAGACATCACACACACATATGGGTTATGGGCAAAGGGCAACTCAGCAGTGCTTAGAAAGTGAGCCGGCATCTCTCCAGCAACAAGACCAATTTCTATATTTTGATCCATAACTGATGACCATCCGGATCTAAACCCAAGTCCCTATGGACTGAACTCCAGAGCTGTATCTTTGAACTCTTACAGTATCTAGTCCTGAACATGTGTAAGTATGGCTTTCTGATTAAAAGTCTACATATTACTCATGGAAAACAAAGTCTGGTCAGGGAATCTCCTCGTCTCCTTGTTTGCTTTTGTAGCTCCTAAAGAGGCATTGCTATTCATTTCATTCAGTTTCATAACCAAATAAAAAAATCTTCATACTGAAGGAGCTTTAATTAAAGAAGTAATTATGTTGTTTATTGGGTTTGGGATGATCCAGTATGGAATCAGAAATTGTTTCCTCTGTGTTACACATTAAAAAAGTAGATAAAATGTGCATATTTGATACAATTTTAAGCACTGTTATGTGTTGTTTTATTTTTATTAATTTATACACAAATACGAAGATGAAGCAAAGAATGCATCTGTGGTCAAACTACTCCATCTGCTGGTGAAGCAGAAAACAACAAAAACTAAGCTTCCTCATTTTGTTCAACGTATTTGTTGGTTACAAATAAAACACAAGGAATAGGGATTTTACGCTTTTTCAGCTCTGAACCTTTGCTAATCCAAATAAAATCAAAACATTTTGTATTTTCAGGTGATTAATGGGCACACATGTTCCCTGAATCAAGGTTGAAGACTCACCTGTTTACAGCTGCCTCACTAAACAATTTAAATAGATTTATTTTAAGATTTTAAACTAGAGCTCTGCACTGTAACTTTTACGCTTATTGTTAATTCAATTTTCTATTTAAAAAAAAGGCCTGGCATTGCCTTGCCCTAAAAGTTGAACTGCATGGACTTCATACATAACAAGAGAAAAATATAATGTATGCAGATTATTGTGAAAATGTATGCACCTTTGTTTGTGGAAATCTGTTGATCAGGTTGACCCTTTGCCTGTAAAAACACATGATAATTCCCTGTGGTCAAAGATAAACATTACACCTCTTTGCTGATCTTGTACATACGTAGGTAGTGTCTGCTGTAAAATAAATCTCATCCTGCTGTTTTTTATTTAACAATCAGTTGTATCACTAGCTGTCAATGTTTGCTGTGGAATTGTAAAAAAGAAAGAAAAAGAAAGCCTGTGTCTGCAGCATGCTGTCAAACACTTTGACTGACACCTTCCCACCGCAGCATGTTTCAGGCATTAAAAATAACTTTATAGAAATGTTCAATCTTATCACTGACAGTCTTGTTTGCTTTCATAGATCATGAAGAGGCATCACTATAACTTTCAGTCTATTTCATAACCAGCTAAAAACTCCTCACGAGCTTTAAAAAAAACATTTCAACAAATCCCCACAAAATGTTATGTTTGATTAACTGTAGTAACTTTTTAAAAATAAAAATTGTAGATGAGAATTTACAGCCACAGATTACACTAACTTTCACTATTCTATTTAGTCCATAGGCTAATTATTGATTCTATAACAGCCAACATGAGAGGCTGGTGCATACCATACTGTATAGTCTACAGTGCATACCGACAGTTTGAGGAGTAGGAGGTAAGTACAGGTGGCTTGTGGGTAACTGAGTCCTCGGTGTGTTGATGTCAGGGGGAGGAGAGAGAGGCTCCAGACTCAGTGTATGTTGGTGTGTAGATGTGAGTGTACCGTGAAGAATTCTGCTGCTGGGAGACTTTTCATTTCATATAAAAAACCAGTAACTTTTTCTTGTGAGTAAAACCAACACGGAGGACGAGGCGAGGAGGACAAATGCGAAAATGCGAGAAAAGAAAATCCAGGAAGAGAGTGTGTGCTTATTAAAAATTCAGCGCGGGAGAAGAGACATAATCGCCTCTTCAGATGACTTGTGGCAGCACTGAGGAGAAACTACACCACTGACGGACTACACTGTTGAATGGGCTGAAACGAAGCGGATTTTTCTTCGTCTGAAAGGCGAGTCCAAAGCTTTTCCAAGCGGCCAAAAAAACCAAAAGGGACGGGAAGGGGAAAGGAAGGGGGGCAAAGAAAACGCCCTGCTGCTGCTGCCTGTTGCTGCTGCTGCTATCTCCATATTCAAACTTTATCCCCGAGTTGGAAAAATGCATCTTTCACTTAACAGGAGGTGATAAACCGAGGGTAACATTACTTTTTTTTTAGTAGCAGCTAGCTCACAGAAGAAGGCCCTGCTTCACTTGATTAAGTTTTTTGGGACGCGGGGAGTCTCTCTGCTTTGGGAATATTTTCTCTTCATTGTGCACACTATTCCTGTTTGGAGCTATTTGGGTGGGCTGAGAGCTCAAGGCAAGCCCCCACTATAGAGGCCCACGGCCATTAACCAAGGGAACAAAGAGGTTTCACATGTAAAACTAAAAAAATAAAACACTTCGAGGAAACACCTCTTTGTATATTTGAGAAAAGTTGTGCTGCAGTCATGTCGCTGGGTGCAGAGAGGAGGATGGAAACCCGGCTGAAGAAGCTGGAGGACATGATCAGAGACCCCAAATGTGCCATAAACCTGGAAAGTTTGCTGGTAAGTCAAGTGGGATACACCTCATAGATTATTAATGATGCCATGTTGTCTACACGTAGGCACACAGTAAGGTAACGACATAATCCACTCATCACTCCACTATAACCTGCTATACTGTTAGCATTGTTTTTACATACTCCACTATAACCTGCTATACTGTTAGCATTGTTTTTACATGACTCTGATGCTGCATGCTAGTTGGCACAGTTGTCCTTAGTCATTTATCTCATCTACCCACGTTTCTGTTTTCATTCTGTCCTGGAATCTGATCCATTCCCACAGTATGTATTTGTTCAGAGCCTCATGGTGGACATACTGTAGACAGGCCTGATTAATGGTTAAGACTCAGTGCAGACAGAGCAGTTTTGGGCTTTTTGAAGCGTGTCTACAGATTAGGATTAACTGCTGCTAGGAGAATGTCCCTCTTTCTGTGTTTGTGGAAAATAATATTTCAAGATAATAAAACTCACTCCTGGGGCCTGGCTCACCAAAACCAGGTCTAACAACCTACCCTGGTCCTTCCTGCACACACAGGTTATGAGGAAGATGATGTCAAAACAAAACCCAAACTCAGTTTTTAACTTTTGACTAAAACAAAACTCCTAAATGATTATGAATTTGATAGCAGTTTGGTTAAATGGTCATCAAACAGCCAGTCGAGTCTGCAGGAATTATCACGGGACGAATGGACCTAAGGTTGTCAAAAGTTTACGATTCTCTTATATATTTTTGATACCATGTTATAAAACGGTGCAAATCTTTGACTTTCCAATTATCAATAGTACCAAAAAGTGCCAAAAGGTAGAAAAACCCCACATTATCTTTAGTTGTGTTTTTAACCAAAGAAAGAGCAGTGGTTGTCAATAACTCAAATCCTGACATTTCTCAGGTCCTCTCAGCGTTTCATAAAGATGCTTAATTGATTACGTTCCAATAACAAGTCATTGCCAGAGTGTTTGTGCAACTTGCAATTTTTGTTGTTGCTGTGTCATCCAAACAGGTTTCGATATTGATTGATTTTTAATTTTAGAGTTTGACATTCAGGTATGGTGACAACCCTAGTGAAGTGTGTGTCAAACAGGGATGATAAAAGCACAGGAGGTGGATTGTTGTATCAGCTCTTGTTGTGTAGCTGCAGCAAAAACAACAACAAATATTTTTTCAAAAACAGCCACCACTTTACATCAGCATGATCACCCCAGTGTTGATGTATCTGTAGACCGCAAATATGTAGACAGCACGAGGCTGGAGGAAGATTTTAGCTCGGTGTAAAGTATATGTGGGACTAAAGGGTACTTGGAGGGTCACAACGTGTTGTTGAAACAAAACTACCAGGACAAATCTGTCGTTGTCATGGTTTATTGATGAAATGTTATATGTTTTGCAATAGGGCCGCAATTTCATCATTATGCAATTAACACATTGCAGAAGTTTGAATTTATCTCAATAATATCTCATTGTTGTAAACAAGCACTTTCTCACTTAGCGTGCAAGCATTCATGGAAACCTGGGTGTTTTGTTTTAATGCAATCAGGTGAAGCTTAAGCTGTCAGCTACCCTTCGATTAATTGGTACCAAATTAATGGTGGACAAAAACTCTGCTTTTTTTAAATGTTGGACTCATACTGCAAACTGTTATTTTGAAAAAAAGGGATGGCTGTGGCTCAGTTGGTAGAGTCGATTGTCTGTTAACCGCAAGGTCAGCGGTCCGATCCCCAGCTCCTGCAGCTACGTATCCGATGTTATCAGCCTCTGCCATCAGTGTGTGAATGTGTAGGTGTGACCTGCGGTGTAAAAGCACTTTGAGTAGTCTGAAGACTAGAAATGCATGAAAACTGTGAGTTACATAATACACACTCTTTAATATTTCTTTATTCATCACAGTTCATATTGTCATCGCAATAATGGATAATGTTACCACATATTGCATTTTGTTCTCATATTATGCAGGCCTATCTTGAATGCATTCATATATCTGAAACAATACTTATCCTGTCAATAAATGCCAAAACTTTCCGCCCAGTAAACTGTCCTTTTATTCCATCTCTTCAAATTTAAAATCCATATTATCATCGTAATCCCACTTCATTCATTCCCCATTTATACCTCTGAGGAAAGAGCTGCTGCACTAACAACATTTCTGAGGTGAAGTGATTTCTAATCAATTTATTTAAGCGGTAAACAGCAAAGTAGACGGTCCGTGTGTTGACATTCAGCCAGGCAAGGCACGTTTATTTATGTAGCACAATTCAACAACAAGGCAATTCAAAGTGCTTCAAACAAGACATCCACAGCATCCTGACAAGGGGAACATTTAAAATAGAAAATGTAAAAATCACTCAAACAAATCATTAACAATCACAGAGAAGATTAATTATGAAAACATGTTAAAAAATAATTAATAACATCCAAAAGAAACATAGAAATATGACATTAAAGTCTTTATATGTGACTTTTTGATCCAGCAGATGTCGCCCTTGAGCACCAGCATGAAACCAAAACAACTCACGCTGCATTGTTGTGATACGATCTTTATTATGCTGGTATCTTCACACTGCATGTAAATTTACCTGAAATGAGCGTGATCTAGAAACACAGTTAAGCAGTGAGTACAGTATGTTATTCTTCTTTTCTCTAGTCCCTCAATTAAACAACTTTTATACACGAGGGGAGGAGTCAGCCGGCCGTCCTGGCGATGTAAACAAAGTGAAGATAGGACTCTGAAAACATCACAGACAGTGGGACTCGGGTGTTACACCCATTGTAGACAGTCATGACTCACAGAGTTATTTTCAGAGGAGATACTTGATTTATATTATATTTAAGTGAGAAAAATCACATAGAAAGACTTTAAGCACGAATGATGTTCAAATACAAAAATGAAACAAAACCTAAATTTTGAATGTACTGATGTTATCTGCTCTGTGTGCCTTTCTGTGTTATAGTGCTCTAGTCCTAACTGAAGAGTTTGAAAGCTTTAATCACCTCTTACTGGCCCAGTATGTACAGGAAATGAATGAGTTTGCCTGACTATAAAGATATCCATGCATGGACCAAAACTGTAAATAGATGTTTGGGACTGTACAAAGTCAAACTAGGGTAGACTTCCCTTTACAGTCTGATGCAAACCTGTATCAGTCCAAAACTTTGCAGTGGAGATGAAACTTCTGATAGACTTTGAACTGGGTCTTGGGTAGAATGAAAAGGATGTACAGATCCCGACAGATGCATCATTGAGTCTTTTAATGACCTAAAGTTGAACAAGGGCAGTGGAAAAATCCTTTCAGTGTATATAATGACACACGTCTGATATAGGGGGGAAAAAAGGTCCTCTGCAATGTTCTCTTTCCCAAAAATAGATTCATGATAATGTTCTTGAAATGGATGCATCACCAAATGAACAAATCTCAACTTGAGGGAAAGCTTTTTAGACTTTCAGACGGAGAAATCTTCAGTATGTGAACACAAGGACATGGCTTTGAAATCCTAACCAGCACTGAGTCACAGTACCTGTTTGAGCTGCGAAATCTTGAAGTGGCAGTGTTTGAGTTTCTGGGCCCCCTAACTGGATGTGACAGAGGGCAAACACGCTGTCGGGTCTGTCTTAAAAAGCATCACCTCACCCCCTTTTAATGGGCCCCATCTAGCTTGGGGCCCCCCTGTACATACCCTCTCCTGTGCCTCCCCTCTCCACTTCTCAAAGCACTCCTGGTTCTAGTCCCTCTTCCCTCAAAAACATTCAGCAGAATACTTGCTTGAGCACCGGTGGTGTTTACTTCCTGCACGCGAGCTGGAGAGATAGGGGTGTTGAGTGTTTGAGACAAAAGTTGAGTGGGAAGCATGCGTAGGAGGGAGCAGGCTGCGGTTTTCCATTTTTAGCTGTCTCTGTGCTGTCACAGGGATCAAGAAGTTTTGCTGTGCAGGTTGGGATTCCAACACACACACACAAACACTAAGGGCTCAGAAATGTCCTTTTTTGCAGGTGGAATAAAAAACATGCATACTTTAAGAGCCTCAATAATTGCTCACAGGCTCATATTTGCTAAACAATGAATCACAAATCTGTTGCTGCTGTGGCATAGCAACGGCAACAACAACAAAAAAAAAGAGGATGAAGTTGCTTTATCAACTATTATATACTCTCCCAAATAACAGCTTGATGAAAGAAAGTATCAGGTTTGTATTTTCAGCTGACTTTGACTTAGACGTTTTTTAAGGACTTGCCAAGAGGTGGTGAGCTGAACACCCTGAGGATACGGAAAGCTGACAGTGAGGAATCTGCAGCATCTGTCCTGTACACCCAGTGACCCTCCTTTGAATAAAGCTGACCCTTTATGAGGTTGGATGTACTGTAGTTTTCTTTGACATTATAATAAGAGAGCGTAGGTTCCTTCTTAAGCAGGTATTCATCTGCTGTATGAATGAGCTAAATATAAGCTAATATCTATCTAGCATTAACCTGCTGAAGAATGCTTGTGTGCTCTAATTAACTGGGCTGGCAGCGGCCTGAGCATGACCTGTTGAGGTTTCCCCAGTCCCTTGCCTCGGTGCTGGGAGGGTCAGTTGAACTTTTGCAGCTGGATGCTGGGTGGATGCTTAATCAGCCCCTTTATGTTTTTGTCTCACAGGGTCTTTTCTTGTGAAGACTTCTATTAGTCAACGTTCTAATTTTGCTCGATTCTTCTTTTTCATTCAGTTTGAAATCGGCCAAAGTCCCAAACTGAAAAGGTTAGAAGCGGCCATTGTTTCCTCTAAAAAAAGCAAAGGCTGAAACTCTGCAGCAATAGGACGAGCCTTCACAGATGGCAAGAAATGAACACTGTTAACTGTAGTTTTAAATAAGCAGTTGTTTAGCATTCAACGCTCGAATATTCAAGTGGAAAACTAGCAGGGCCTAAGTTCATAGAAATGAAGAGAGATCCCTCTCACTGACTGCCGACGCCGATTCAACATGTCAAATCCACCGAAAGAAGGCAGACGGGTAGCGACAGAGCCAGACA